CGGCGCGCCCCTCCGCCTGCCCCATCTGCGGGCGCGGCTTCGTGATGGCCGCCTATCTGCAGCGACACCTCAGGACGCATGCCCCCGCTAGCACGGCTGCTGCTGGCCCCACGGGCCCCGCCCCCTGCCCCCAGCCCCCCGCCCCGAGCCCCGGCCCTGCCCGCCACCCAGGATGTTCACGTGCTCCCCCACCTCCAGGCCACGCTCTCCCTTGAGGTGGCAGGGGGCACCGTGCAGGCCGCGCCTCCGGGCCCGGTAGCCCCCAACTCCCAGACATTTCTCTTGGTGCAGACCGCGCAGGGCCTCCAGCTGATCCCCAGCAGCGTGCAGCCCTCGACTCCCCCGCCTCCACCCGCACCCCCCAAGCTCATCCTGGTGCCCGCCCCCAGTGTTGGCACTGGGGGCAGCCTGGCTAGGCAGGGTCCAAGGACAGCAGGGAAAGCTGGCCAGGGGGCGGGAGTAGTCTGGCTGCCGGGCCCTGGGAGTCTAGGGGTACAGGGAGGAGGCAGTGCGGGGGCCAGCGGGGGAGGGCAGAGCCTCATTGTTCTACAGAACGTAGGGTGTGGGGAGGCAGGGCCGCAGGAAGTGAGCGGGGTCCAGCTCCAGCCTCTCCGGCCAGCACCGGAGGTGACCGCGGTCCAGCTCCAGCCCGCGCAGGAAGTGACCACAGTCCAGCTCCAGCCCGCACAGGAGGTGACCACGGTCCAGCTCCAGCCCGTGACAGGCCAGCTCTCCAGCTCTAGCGGGGGAGCTGTGGCCACCGAGGCCCCTAACCTGCTGGTGGTTCAGAGTGGGGCGGCAGAGGAGCTGCTCGCGGGCCCTGGGCCTGGGGAGGCCACGGATGGGGAGGCCGGCTCTGGCGTGGTCCCGGATGTGCTCTTTGAGACCCTGCAGACAGACGAGGGGTTGCAGAGCGTGCTGGTGCTGAACGGGGCCGATGGGGAGCAGACCCGCCTGTGCGTCCAGGAGGTGGAGACCCTCCCACCTGGGCTGCCTGAGCCGCCGGCCCCTGGCCTGCAGGGACAGAAACTCCTCACCCGCGGCCCCCCAGCCACGGAACTGCTGGACAGCGGCGGCCTCGGGGGCTCCGCCACGCTGCAGCTCCTGGCCCCGCCGCTCTGTCCAGCCTCTGCCCCCGCGGGGATTCCCGCTGCAGCCCCCACCTCCCAGATGGTGCAGGTGGTCCCGGCCGGACCTGGGCCTGGGGGCGTGACCCCGCAGGGCCTGCCCTCCATCCAGATCGTACAGACTCTGCCTACAGTCCAGCTAGTACACACGTTTTGAGGAGACCGGACGGTGCCCCTGCCGGCCTCACGCTGAGACCCCGCCTCACTGTCTTGGCTGGGGTAGGGAGGGGGCTCCAGGCTGGGCGCACTAATAAAGACCCAGAGTCTCCTCTTCTCTGTCTTGTTTGCTTGGGGAGGGGCGGGAGGAAGGGCCAGCTCGCGCTCAGGACCGGTCCCTGGGTGCTTGGGGTCTTAACCGCTCCCTGGCTCTCGGAGGACCTGCTTTCGGGTCTCCAACTAGGGAGGGGCGGCACGCCGCGGTCACCGCAGCGGGGCGCGCGGGGAGTCGCCCCGCCACCCATTAAACAACGACTGAAGATGGTTCTCCTCCCGAAGGGGCCTGCAAGCCCGTACGCCCCGGGGGTGGGAGCGGAGGTCCCTGCGGACCGGGCAGTTAGGAAAGGGCTCCGGCGCCTAAGAGAACCGATTGGCTCCGGGCGCCGCCCCCATGCGCTCAGGTTGCTTAGCAACGAGGGCACGTAGGGAACCGAGCTAGCGATAATCCGGTGTCGACCCGGTAAGTACCGCTCCTCGCGCCCTCCCCCGCTAGCGGCTG